TTAGAGCTTAAGGTTCCGGGCTTAGGATTTAGAGTTTAGAGCTCAGGGTTTGGGATTTAGAGTTTAGGGTTCAGGGTTTAAGATTTAGAGTTTAGGGTTCAGGGTTTAGGATTTAGAGTTCACGGCTCAGGGTTTAGGATTTAAAGTTCAGGGTTCGGTGTTTAGGATTTAGGGTTTAAGGAGGGTTAAGGGTTTAGAGTTTAAGGTTCAGGATTTAGGGCCTTAATGTCTAGATGTTCTAGGATTGGCATGTCGTTCTTCTTCTTGCCTGAATATTCATGATCTGTGCTGGTGCCGCACATTTACATTCCTCCCCCATACGAAACCGTGGTGCAGTCTTCATGATGCAGGGTAGACCCCGACCCGAAATCTAAGCCCTAAACCCTAAACCGGAAGACCGGGACAGACCCTGAAGGGCTGTCAAAATCGCCAGTGGCTTTCCCGAAGTGCAACACTATAGGGGCCTCAATCATTAGAATAGGGTTTTGGGCTATATTATACTCTAAGTATATACATAAATATAAATGAATAAATGTATATATATATATATATCACGGAGCCCCCATAGTAGTGTTGGTATTTATTGAGGCCCCCTACAATATATGTGTCGAGGATGCTCCGTCGTGAGGAGAGGTCCCGAAATCCGACTTGCACCCCAAAGAGCCGACCCTTTCAAAGACTTAGGGTTTGATAGGGTTTAAGGTTTAGGGTGCAGGGTTGAGGGTTCAGGGTTCAGGGTGTAGGGTTTAGGGTTTAGGGTGTAGGGTGTAGGGTTTAGGGTTTAGGGTTTAAGATTTTGTAAGGGATGAAGAAACCCCCAAAACATATGGGTGTCTTGCGGTTGAGGTGAACCCGTCCAAGTTCAGTCCCGGCCCAAACCACGAGAGGCAAACCCGACTGAACGGCAATGCATGCTTTGAATGTCTATAACATCAAGCGTCCTACCCATCCTTAACTCCCATAAGTATCCCCAGCAACCCCCAGAATAGTATAGGCATAAAATTATCTAGGCCCCATACTAACCCCTAAACCCTAGAACCCAGAAC